GGTCATTGCGTTTTCCCCACACCCCAAATCAACAGTTAACTATATTATTAAACTAGCATGCCCCGTCTCGGCTTCGCCCGACCTTATGCAAAAGCAATTTATGACCAGTTTTTTTTTTTGGTCCTTTTCTCCTGTGTGACTGCAGTACCTTGGGCTGTGCCCTATAACCTGCACTTAAAAATGTATGGTTAATGTCTGTGTGTAGTTTTGGTGGGGTGGTTTTATTGAGTTAATTTCATGTGTTAGGATCGAGGGAAAAGTTTCAAAAACCTCGATGCATTAGTATGTCGTGCGACAGTGGAGATTGGGTGTTAGATATTTGGGATGAGTTTGGGTGTTTTCATGCGGATCTTTAGTGGGAATTCTGCGCGATTGTAGTTACCCAGGGAGGATACTAGGGGGTTTGGGTGCTGAATGTTATTTTCCTGGGCTTTAGTGGCTAATGTCATGATGTATTCGTGCAGGAGTTCTGTTTTTGCTTCTCTGTGGAGTAGTGCTGTGGAATAGGATCGGGGTTCGTTGAGTATGATCCTGAGGTATTTATTTTGGATTTTTTGTAATGTAGCTATGTGTGTCCTTGCGGCGGTGCACCATACTGGTGCGCCGTAAGTTAGGATGGGGCGGATGCAGGTTTTGTAAAGTCGGATTTTTAGTGGGATAGGAAGCGGGCTGTTTCGTGCTAGGAACGGGTAGAGAATACGGAGGATCCCTAAGCTTTTGCAGGCTCTGTCCTTGGAGTTGTGTTGCCATTTTAACTTGTTGTCAAACCATATTCCTAGGTATTTTACTTTGGAGGACCAGTTGATAGGGTGGTTGCTTACTATTAGTTTGTCAGGGTTCTTTAGCCTTTTTGGGGTGAAAAAAATTGCTTCTGTTTTGGTTGGATTTAGCGCTAGCTTCCATGTGGTGGTGAATCGGAGGATGTTGTCGAGGTGGTTTTGTGTGTGCTTGGTTGCCAGTTTGATTTGCCACGAGGAGGAGTAGATGGCTGTGTCGTCTGCGTACAGGGCTAGTTTTGTGTTGGTGCTTTTGGGAATGTCGTTGATGTAGATGTTGAATAGGATGGGTCCCAGGACTGATCCCTGGGGTACCCCGGTGTGCAGGAGTCTGGGTGAGGAGATGGAACCATTGTAGGAGACTGTGGTGAGCCTGTCCGTGAGGTAATTTTGGATTATTTTGATTAGGTGGATATGGAGGTTGATGTGGTGCAGTTTGAGGAGGAGGCCATTGTGCCAGACGGTGTCGAAGGCCTTCTGGAGGTCTAGTAGAACTAGGACCACCGTCCGGTTCTTGTTCACCTCCAGCGCAATGTCCTCCTGTAGCCTTAGGGCTTGCTGGACGGTGGAGTGTTTGGCTCTGAAACCAAATTGTTCTTGAATTAGGATGTTGTTGGAGGAGAGGTGTGCATTGACTTGGATGAGAATTATTTTTTCTAGGATTTTTCCGAGTAGGCTCAGCAGGCTAATTGGCCTGTAGTTGTATGGGTTTAGTGCGGATTTCTTGGGTTTGGGAAAAGGTATTATGCGAGCTGTTTTCCAGGCAGTGGGGAAATAGGCTAGGTGGTATGACTGCCTGAAGATGTAGTAGAGTTGGAGGGTCATTCTGGGAGGAAGGTGTTTTAGTTGGATGGCTGTTATTTTGTCAGGGCCAGGGGATTTTTTGTTTTTTAAGTTCTTAATCAGTCTGTGGATTAGTTGGGGGGTGATGGCTGTGGTGTTTGATGGGGTGTTGTTTAGCTTGTGGATGAACTGCTCAGTTTCCTGATCGATGGAAGAATTGTTGAGTATGCTGGGTGGGAGGTGGAAAGCTCTGGCAAGTGATTCCGTTTTGTCTGCGTTGGTGTAAGCTATGGTGTTGCCGTCGTTGAGTGGTGGAATTGTGTTTTTGGTTTGTTTTAGGGATTTGTATGTCGTCCAGAGTCTGTTGGGATTGTTAGCTATTTGGGAGATTTTGTGCTGCCATGCTGTGTTCTTTAGTTCTCGGATCTTGGATTGGATTTGGCTGGTGAGAGTGTTTCGGAGATGTCTGTGTAGTGGGTTGGCTGTGTTTTGGAATTTGCGTCTGTATCTGTTGCGTAGTTTTATGAGGTTCAGTAGCTCGGTGTCTGGTTTTATAGTTTTGTGGTAGGCATGCGTGGTGGTGGTTGCTCTGTTGAAGTTTTTTCTTATTGAGGTTTGAATTTTGGTTATTTCTCTGTCTATTTCCGGGGTAGAGTTTAGGTGCGGGTTTATGGGGTAGTTGTTCCCCTGGGAGCGGAATAGGTGCCAGTCAGTGGTGGAGAGGGTGCAGTTTGTGAATTGGGTGTGATTGTTGGTGTGCTGGAGGATTATTGGGAGGTGGTTGGAGGGGAGGTCGTGTATTGTGTGGCATTCGGAGTAGTGGGTGGAGTTGGTTAAGAAGATGTCTATATTGGATGGTCTAGCGTGAGGCTGTTTGTGGGAGTAGGTATCACTGTTGAGGATGTGGTAGGAGTTTTTGGTCATGTGGGTGTACAGTGCTTTGCCGTTACTGTTGGTGGTGATGTTGTTCCAGCAGGGGTGCTTGGCATTGAAGTCACCCCCGATGATGAACTTTTGGTTGTGGGAGGTTAGGGTGTCCAGGTCATGCTGGGAAAAACGTTTGTTTGGGGGGAGGTAGGCTGCTCCGAGAATGATTTTGGGGTTAGTGGTGAGTTTGATGAAGATGCCCTCTACTCTGTCTAGGAAGGGTTGGGGGAGAGTGTCGTACTTGAGGTTCTGGTGGATGATGATTGCTACTCCTCCATGTGGCGTGTGTCGGTCTTTCCTAATTACATTGTATCTGGGGAAGCGGATGTCATCGGTGGGTTTGAGCCAGGTTTCAGTGATTAGGGCTAATTGAATTTGTTGTTGTTCGAGGAATATTTGGAGCTCAGAGGTTTTGTTGATGATGCTGGTTGCATTCCAGAGAAGTATCTTGGGGGGTAAGTTAGCCATTTATGAGTTCGGCGGCTTCAAGGAACGCTTGAAGTTTCTGAACTTTAGAGTTACATGTGCTGAGTTTTGTGTACAGAAAGTCGAGGGCTGCGGCCATGCTATTTACGTCCAGGATTTCATTGATGGCTTGAGCATTAGCGAATAAGCTTGAGAGGTCCGGTTGTGAAGTCTGTCTGTTTTGGGCGGTGATACTGGCGTATGTTTTTCTGGGGGTTACTGTGGGAAGGCTTTGCTGGGGGGGGGTGTGAGTGTTATTGGTGGGGGCACGCTGCAGGGAGTGGGGTTGGTTGTTGGTGACGTTTTGTTCGCTTGTGGTGGGGGGTTTTGTGCAGTGGAACGTTTCTTGAGGAATGCTAAGAGGGAAGGGCACTGGCTATAGTTGGCCGGGTGGGAGCCTCCACAGTTGCAACATGTGGCTGGGGTTGTGGGGGGTTTGGTGCACTCTTTGGTGCTGTGTTTGCCCGCACACTTTAGGCAATTGTGTGCTTTGGTGCAGTTGGAGGAGGAGTGTCCGAATGCCTGGCATCGGTAGCACTGGATGTACGGGCGGGAGCTATTATATTTCTCCCAGTATGCTCGGGTGTAAGCTACATTCCTAACGTGGTTAATTTGCTGCAGGGTGGTGCCTTTAGCAAAAACTACTTTGTATGTCGCGAGATAGCTGGGTATTTTCCGTTTGAGTTCAGAGCAGGAAAGGGCGTTTAGGCCCTTCGCCTGTAATTCCGCTAGAATTTCGTCCGTCGGGAGTTTGGGGAGTCCTTTGAGAACTACGGCAATTGTTTTTCCCGCTGTCAGGGAGTATGTGTGATATTGAATATTGCTAACGGTTAGGAGGTTTTTGGTAGCTAGGAAGTCGGGTGTAGAGGCCAGGGTGACTTTGGCTTGATTAGAAAGGTATTTCACCTCAAACTTGCTATCGATGGTGGATTTTATCAGGTTGCAGAGACCGTTGTGGTCTTTGATATGCGTGTGTATGAATATAGGTGGCGGCTTACCTTGGGCTGCAGTTGTAGTTGGGTCGTTAGGTGGCGTTACCTGCTCCTTGGGGGTAGGTTGTGAGTTGGCGTCGTTGCTGATGTCAAAGATGTCCGCCAGGGCGGCGAATCTGTTACTGATGGGCGTTGGCTGGGTGGCAGGGCGCGTCGGTGCTCCGGAATCGTCGGCGGATGCTTCCTTCGATGTCATTTTTGTTCGGGGTAGGATGAATCCGTCCGCGGAGATATTGGAGTATGTAGATGTTGTTGGTTTGGACGTGTCCATGTTCGTGCTTGTGGTGGCGGCGGTGGAGATTGGCGTTGCTCTACTTGAGTCGGAGAGCGAGGTTGCTCTCCTCCTAACTGTTATTGGCGCGTATGGTTCACCTTCCCATCGCGCTGCCTGACGATGGAGGTGTTTAGTTTTGTTTGGCCCTGTGGCCAGCTTGATTCTGGAGGGCACCTCCTGGTGTTGCCTTTTGGGCCTCGGTCCAAAATGGTTCGGCACTTCACTGGCTGGCGCTTCCACTGGTATTATTACGGTGTCGTTCGCTTTTCGTTATTCGCTGCTCTGCTCGGTCGCTTTCGCTACGGGGTGGTCCGTTCCTCACGGAGTCCCAAAGTCGAGTCCACTGACCACTCACTCTGACACTCCCAATTTATGACCAGACGATCGTCCTGACATATATATCCGCGATAATTCAATTCTCTCGCGAGAAAGCGCTCGAGAAGCTTCGCCACCTGGCGGTAACATCGTAGTACTGCTATGAGCGAGGTATCGCGCGGGCCGAATATGCGCATGCGCGCGCAAGTAGACTGTCGTATACAGGGGTCACGTGGTCTGCCAAACAGTCGTACACATGAAATCTTTGCATATAAATTACATGTTAATAACGCGCTTCTGAGACATGCTACATAGCCTATGTCCGTCCTAGAGTATGCAGGAATAACGTGTAAAAATTTGAGGAAGATCGGTTCAATAGGTCTTGAGTTTTGCGCGAACATAAAAATCGGCTCTTTCTTTATATAATAGTATAGATTTACGTTCTCTAATGTCGGTTGTTTTTTTTAGTTCCAGCAAGAACAACCGGCCAGGTTCTCCTCGGTGAGGTGGACATCGCGGTTCAGGAAGACAATTTCAACGAATTTACAACCGAGGAACTGTTTATAAAAAAATGCGTCGTCGAGGGAAACACGTACTCCCACAGCCAGACGGTGCGTAAACAAACATTGCATTTATTCTCCATATTTTCAGATCCAATAATTCGTACGATTGTGAAGGTCGAAAATTTTTTAAAAAATAGGATAACTTTGACTTTCATAACCCATCAGTTTTAAATGAACTTTTTATTTTAACATGAATTAATTGATAAATTGCGTTATTTCAATAATTATTATTAAAACTGCGGATGTTTATGCATTTATGAGAAATTTTAATTTTCGAAAAACTACAGAGTGCACTTAATATACAAAAATATAAGGAATACCCAAAGCAAGATACGAATTAATATATTTAAGGATTGAAACAACCCTCTACAAAGCTCTCATTCCGTTAATTCTATTAATCAAAATATGAATTTGCATAAAAATCCGCAGTCTAATCATTAAAATATTAAAATAACTAAATCCATATGTGTATATGTATAGTGTTCCTTTGTATAAATAATCACTGTTCTACAAATTAAATTTTGTTTTCTGTTTTTCAATATTCACTAGGTAATTCTTATAGAGCTTCGTACCCTAAACACGAATGTGAAAATGGAATTGCTGTAGCACGCGAAAATTAAAAACATCAGACAGTTCCACTTAATCTTAAAAGATAGAGGAGAGATTTCTGAATATGCTAACATCGATAGTTATAATATTTTGTGCTTTTGAACGGTTGTAAATGATCGCCGAAGTTTGAAAAAGTGTCGAAGTACGTACTTTATACACAATACTTTTGCATATTTACGAAAAGTTCTTTACCTGACACGAAATTTATACACAGGATCTGATTCTGCAGACATTTCTGAGGAAGAAACTATTCAACAGAAGTGTAGAAGCCGTTCTCAATTGTCACAGGTCGAGACAATGTGTATTGTCAACACGTGCACGGCGTTTTACCGCCACGCGGCCATCGCTTGCCTACTGTCCTCCGCTCACTTGAAGCCCCGCGGAAGGAATGCGGGAGAAGTAGAAGGGGCACACGTATTCCCACGCACACATTGGCCTCTAGCTCGCTATTCGTCGCGGCAGTTACACACACATGTGGACTGTCTGAGAGCAAGTGAGCAAGACAGATAAATGGGCGGTCCGACTCCCCTTGCCCCTGTGCCGTCCCGCGGGACTTCAAGTGAGCGGAGGACAGTACCTCGGCTCGGCAGTGCCGTAGCTACGCATAATGGATGCGACACCGATAATATCTTGGGCTCCCAATTCCTCTATATGTTTATCATTTTTGATTTTTTAATCTGTTTGTGAATTTGTACAAAACATTTCTCGATCATTTCCATTTCTAAACAATTTCGATGTTCATTGTATGTATATGAATGGTTTTTTAAATATAAAGCCGTAAAAAAATAAACAACATTTTATTGTTGGATTGCCTCACAGAATAGGAATGATATTCCTAAGAGCGAAGTGTGAATAGCAAGGATTTACTCCAGATCTTTCTAAGGAAAGCGTACATGTTCGAGCGATTTCATTGATAAGTTTGCATGGATTTTGAAAATATTATTCAGTGATTAGTATCCTATAGTATACAAATATATTAAGCAATAAAAGTTACAAAAAAAATCAAACATACTATACAGGGTGTTCGGCCACCTCTGGGAAAAATTTTAATGGGAGATTCTAGAGGCCAAAATAAAACGAAAATCAAGAACACCAATTTGTTGATGGAGGCTTAGTTAAAAAGTTATTAACGTTTAAAGTTCCGCCTGTACCGAATTTTTTTCTCAAAAATGGACAGGATTTCGGGGGTATGTCTATTCACCAAAAATGATTGTAATTGACCCCCGCAATCGAAAATAATTTTTCCAGAATGATTTGAAACCTTTCATTTTCCCTGAAAAATTAAGGCACTGTTGATTTTTCTTAAAAATTCGTTTTTCATTTTTAGTCATTTTGTTTGACGCCCTACAGAAAAGTTGTCTAATATTTTTTTGTAGGTACCCATGGAGCTCTACTTCAGAAAAAAGTTTCATCGAAATATATTCACTATTGTAGGAGTTATGGCTGTTTGAAAATTACACCATTTTTATGGGGTTTTTCTCATTTTGCGGAGCCAAGAAATAACTTTTCGAATATTTTTGGAATTGCCACGTATTCCTTAGCAAAATACGCGTAGTTTGCTTTTTTAAACATTAAAATCGTCCAATCCGTTTAGGAGTTATGACATTTTAAACATTCGCATGGGGGTAGCATTTCTGGCCAGAAACTATATTTTCTGTAATGAATATTTTTCTCGAAAGTGCGTAGGAATTCGAGGGTATACGTATTGACCAAAAATGATTGTAATTGACCCCTGCAACCAAAAATAATTTTTTCGGAACGATTTAAAATTTTTTAATTTTCTCGAAAAATTTCACGCATTCTCAAATTTTTTTCTCGAAAGTGGATAGGATTTTGAGGGTATGTCTAATGATAAAAAATGATAGTAATTGACTCCTGCAACTAAAAATAATTTTTCCACGACGATTTGAAATTTTTTAATTTTGTCAAAAAATTTCTCAACTTCTCGAATTTTTTTCTAGAAAGTGGGTAGGATTTCGAGGGTATGTCTATTCACCAAAAATGATTATAATCGACCCTGCAACCTAAAATAATTTTTCCAGAACGATTTGAAATTGTTGAATTTAATTGTTAATAACTTTTTAACGAAGCCTTCCTCAACAAATTAATATTCTTAATTTTCGTCTTATTTTGGCCTCTAGAATCCCCCACTAAAATTTTTCCCAAGGGTTGCCGAACACCCTGTATACAGAGGGCATACCCTATTGCACCATTATACCAGTTTCGGTTGTAGGTAGCTACGGCACTGCCGCGCCGAAATAGGCAAGCGATGGCCGCGTGGCGGTAAAACGTCGTGCACGCATTGCCAATACACATTTTTTCGACCTGTGGCAATTGAGAACGGCTTCTACACTTCTGTTGAATAGTTTCTTCCTCAGAAATGTCTGCAGAATCAGATCCTGCGTATAAATTTCGTGTCAGGTAAAGAACTTTTCGTAAATATGCAAAAGTATTGTGTGTAAAGTACGTACTTCGACACTTTTTCAAACTTTGGCGATCATTTACAACCGTTCAAAATCACAAAATATTATAACTATCGATGTTAGCATATTCAAGAATCTCTCCTCTATCTTTTAAGATCAAGTGGAACTGTCTGATGTTTTTAATTTTCGCGTAATACCTCGTTTTTGCCAAAAATTGGACGTTTTCACAAAAACTCGTGTTTTTCAAAAACTGAGGGTGATACAGCAATTCCATTATCACATTCGTGTTTAGGAAACAGAGCTCTACAAGTATCACCTAGTGGGTACGGAAAAACAAAATTTGTGTTGAACAGTGAATTAAACGAAAGAATTCTTATAAAGAGAACACATAAAATATTAGCTTTTTCGAATGTACATAATAAAACTCGATCAAAAGAATTGAAAAACTTTATCTGGAATTGCGGAAGCAAGGTGAATTATATGGCATGCTTTTATGAATAAATCCCCAGTGACTCTAACGTGTAGGCACGTGGATGCAATTCTTTGATAAATAATCCGTCTTTTGTGCATAGGGGAAATGGCATTGGAACTTTGTCCTTCGTATACATATTTAGGTCATTGAGACAAGAACATGATACATTTTATCAGGAAATGAATGTGATAGGGTATCAAATCGTTGGATACGAACACTTGTACTCGTGCATGTACCTACATGAGAACTACATATATTGGATCAGAGACAGAATGCAACCTTGAGAGAAAACTAGTTATATTCGTCACACTTATCTTTTAAAACAAAGCTACGATTAGGTTTCCTCGTTTTTTCTAATTTTCATAATAAGATTAAGTAAGACCAGTGCCCGATGAATATTCCATCTGATTCATATTTCTTTCCACCATGAATCTCATCGAAATGAAAATGACTATTTTTTTATTGAGATCAAATACGTGCAAATTTTGTTTAGAAATTCTTTTACCTAAGAAAAATCGTGTGTGGTATCAGCATGATGGGATGTTCAGCTCACAATGCACTTAAAGCACGTAAAATGTTAAATGAAAAGTTCCTTCGACGCTGGATTCGTTGCAAGTTCTCGATAGTTCACCCGTTCGCCTAATGCAGCGTCGGTAAACTTTTGTGAGCGAGTGTCTGCAAATGCAGTTGTTTATAACAGAGTTGGACGAATTTCATTCGAGAATAACGAATAGAAATTTTATATTTTAAAATTAAATGAATAAATTCGTTCGTAAATTAGAATTAATCGACAGGTCTCTTTAAATTGACATTTCGTGGAACAAAAGCTAATTCACGAATTTTTATTCGTTATTCGCGAATAAACTTTTTGCGATTTTAGTTTACAACGATATTCCTACAACGCTGAAAAATATAAAAAAATGTCAAATAATTGTATGTGCTGATCTTTTATTTGTCGACTAACAAAAATTCAACATATGAACACTATTTGGAACATTTGTTAAACTAAAAGTCTTCCACTGAGCGTTCTATTATGATTGTTTGACTACATTCATTTAATTTCATGAATTTCTGGATTTTCTGTACTCTGTATGTACTTTTATCAAGGTGTTGTTTTAGTTGAATTTAAATACAATGATTTATAATAGCTTGACCTTTACGCGACCTTGAATATAGAACATCTAGAGTATCTGTTACGTCCTGGAACGTTCGAAGACCGATGGATAGATGCCGCGACCTTCCAGCGTAAGATTCCTCAAATTTCACGCAACTAATCGATCGACGTAACGTAAATGTACAGGGTGTACCTACTAATATCTATAATACAACTGACTGGGCGTGATGCTACACGAAATGAAAACAAAAACAAATAAAAAATAAAGAATAAAATTGTGTCGTTTGAAGTTTCGTTTCAAAGACAATTGAAACTGAAAATTTGCCACCATTTTATAGAATCACGTGTCTAAAAAAGGTTGACGGCTGAAATTTTGTAAAATGATTTTTCCAATCGTAACGTTTGTTCATTCGAATCGATTACTTTTTCT